CTCACTGACTGACTCACTGACTCACTCACTCACCCATTGACCCGTCCATAACATACCCGACACGCCGACTAAGAGGTATTTTTTTTACAAAAAAATAACTCAACAAATTATGAAAAATTTTTATTTGTAACAATGAGAGCCTATCCGTCAATAAAATTAAGCAATATGTCTAATTTTCTCAACAAATTCGTAGTGATTAGAAAATACAACTCTTATAGCAGTGAGATAAAGGAAATCTGAAATCATTCAGGTCGTGCAAATTGCACCAAAAACGTGACGTGGGCACTGAGCCGTGACAGCAGCACTGAAATATTTGACAGCTGGGGTTAAGTTAAAGCTCAGTTTTTCCTTTGAAAATGAAGCAAAAAACCCAGCAATCGCTGTTCAGTACCTGGGGCAAATTGAAAAGAAAATAGAGATGGCACAAACAAAGGTCATAAAACGTTTTCTGTCAAAAATATAATTAAAATTAGTTATTTTATCTCCAGTGAATGCACGCGTAATCTAATTAGTTCTTTAAACACGATGACATGCAACCCAGTGCTTGGTTCGCACATGGAGGATTTTTGAGAATAAATAACTGCAATATATTTGGGAAAAAAATTAATAAAAGAAGATTTCTTTTAACAAAAGAAACAAACTTTGCAAGATCTTACACAATCTTTAAACTTGGCAGCTGTAAGATGTTTTTGTAAATATTGAAAGTGAGATATAAAACTGGCAAGCTTATTGAGCAGGGAAGTATGAATAAATACATGCACTATTTCAAGGCTTCATTATAAAGCGAAACATTTGCAAAATATGTAAGTTTAAGTTTGATTGTATTAATTTTATCATTTTTGAAATCACAAACAAAAATTCCAAACTACCGCAAAGGTTCAAAAAGTTGATGATAGTCCGCACGCTTAATCAGAAAAAACTCTGAGCTTAAATCGGCAGGAAACTTCACAAAGTATCACAGGCTTGCACTTGCAACAGTAACCAATCACAAGCTTCATCTCGTTCAATGAATTCCACCCCTAGCACTGTGTTAGAGCCAATCAAAACTTGTCTTTTAACAATATAAACATCAAACCTCAATCTAGTACCTTCAATGCCAGCAAACTGTCAGCTCCATTCATTGTTAACAAGCTCACCACATTGCGTCTATTTAGTTCATAGTACAGCTGTACCTAATGGTCGCACTTTGAGACACTGTCTTCCTATATAAATCTCAATACACTGTCAGAGGGCATTATCCTGGCAGCTTGCACGAGAGTACATAGTTTGTAACAATTTAGTTTAAAAATTTCCCACCCTCCATCCCTTGGAGAAGGGCTTTTATTTGTTATTTGTCAGTAAACTGGGGTCACTCCTTGTGGCTCGGTCAAGTCTGTGTAGCAACTTCCCAAAAGCTTTGGCATTGCTTGTGTCTTGCTATCTTGTATCCTAGCCTTTATCTTGCCCAATCCAGCCCGTCTTGTGCGGGGGTGATAAAAAAGGCTCTGCCAATACTCTTGTTCTATTCCCATGTTAGTGGGGGAATAAGTGAGGCTTTTAGTTTGTGCACCTATCATGAAGTCGTGTCAAACCTGCCACAATGCTGTGTCCCCCTCATATTGTTGTTTCTGTATTTTGTTGTGCTACCTTTTACTTGGTTGCGTTACATCTACTCTTAGTTTGAATAATGGACTAGTGACATTAATTGAAATGTAACTGCCTTCGCTTCTAGTCAAATCCCTTCTAAACAGCTCAAACAGACCCTGGAACAGTAAACTCCAAATGTAAACTCCAAATGAATTTTTGGATTGTTTTAAAGTACACTGATTGCTATAACTTAAAATTGAAAGCGACATTGTGTTTATGTTCTGTTATCTCAGCGAATCCTAGCACGCTGGTGCTGCTTGTTTTATTTATTTACACATTATAATTCACAAGGGTTTCCCATAATGTGAATTTATTTATATATTATAAAAACTATTATATTATATTGAAACTACAACAGAAAAAATAATTTTACTGTAAAGCAGTAAGCTGGTTTACTGTATTGGAAACATTTAATGACCAAAAGCAAGAAGGGGAAAGACTAACCTGTATCGCAGTGCAGTCCAATACAGTAAATGTTACAAGGTAAATGTTTTGTTCTCATTACAAACAATTTAAACATTTTGTTCTCATTACACACTCTTAATGAGTTCCAGTTGAATAACTGCATGTAATTTTACACGCGATATCATGTCTACTGAGCATAATTACACATGCATTTTTGTGTATTTGCTTGTAAGGTGCGTGGACACTGCGTGTAATGTGCGTGTAGTACATGCACTTTACGCTCGTGTAATGCTGGAATCCCTTTGAACAGTACTGTAGTAGTATACATGACCCCACAAGCTTTGTAGCTTTGAGTCTTATCGTGTTGAAATAAAGGTGTTATGTTATGATTGACGAGTTTAATTTTAAACCAAGTGTAATGCATGTAGAGGAAATGTCATGTACGTTTGAATCGTACCCACCAGCCCCTTTATGCAAAGTGAAAGCATTTAAACTTAGTTGAGTAATTCAAATGGAAAAACTTGAGTAATATATTGTCACTAAATCCATTCCAAATGATTCATCACAATTAAGTCAATAAAGAAACAACTGTTCTCTGATGTTACAAGCAAACTTCTTGGCTGAGGACATAGACTGCGAGCAGTCTCTCTTTTGCTCAAAAATCCGTGGGGAAGAATGCAAACAAGAACACAACACACACGAGTGGTGGATCTTGAGCATGCCAGCGTGATATATGAAGCAGCGAGTTGCTCACACTACTCACGGCTTCTCTGCTCACCACTTGCATGTCACACTTGCAGTCACACTTGTTTTGTTTTCTTCATGACTTTCTTCATGACTTTCTTCCCCTTGGATTTTCGAGCAAAAGAGAGACTGCTTGTAGTCTATTGAGGATATAGAGATCAACATTGTTTCGCTGCTCTTGTGGAGTCTAGGAGCCTAGGCTGCTAGAAGATCAAACTTGTCAATGGGACATTCCAGGACTGCAAATTTGGTTTTCAGCCTGATTCTCCTCACAAGCTCTCTTTAAAAGGTGAATACGAGATTGTATTAATAAACTTTTGGTTTGGTTTTTAATTCACAATTTTGTTATTTGATGTATTTCTCATTTTCTAGTGTTTTGGTTTTGTTTCAAAGTACATGCAGCCGGGGTTCAGACTCGTAGTAGCCAGGGAAAATCTCCAGCCCCAGCCCTTAGTGACAGCCCTGAAACACTGTGACCAAATGTACCATGTCCCAAAGCAAAACATTTAGCTGGTACTTAATACATTACCACTTAAACCTATTACCTATTTACAATGGAAAAAAAAAATAGTTAAGGAGTATGTCTGTGAAGTAGATAAATACTTTTTCCTAATTTATGTACAATTTTGTGTTACTTTTCTAAGACAAAATAAAGTTCTTATTACCAAAATGAAAATGAAAAAGTGACTCAGTCTATGTATCTACACCTTTGACACCTTCCTAGTCATATGCTGTTGTTTGTGCCAAGTGAAAGCTAAAGATGCACTACATTAAGTTTTACAAACTTTGCTTAAGTTTGCTTTGAGTCTACAAATCCAATACCACCTAGCCACGATTGTTTGTGCTAGAAAATAATTACAGTAGAACCCTGAAAGTAATTACAGTAGAAACTCAAACCCTTGCTTTCTCAAACCTCCCGATAACTCGAACCACTTGTCGTTTCCCTTGGATTTGCTTCACTTTAACACACTAATTTTACCCCCATTACTCGAACCCTGGATTATTCAAAACTCCCACAAACTCAAACCAATTCTCGGCTCCCGCAGAATGGCAACAAGTCATTAGACAAGTACGTAATTGACCATTCTTAAGGAACGTTTTTTTCTGGTGTGAATGTACAATGTAATTGAAATGCTGTTCTTGTTCAATTTATGTTACTATTTCAAATACAATATGTTTTATTTGTAAATAAAGATATCTATATGCAACAAAAAGGATGTATTTCTATGGAAATGTGCATAACTGCCCCTGCTAAAACAATACCTCAGCATTTTAAGTATTTTAGCATAATCTGATACCACCTTCAATTTCTTGAACTCCCAATTTCTCAAACCAGATTTTCGTTTCCCTTGGAGGTTCAAGAAGTCGGGATTCTACTGTACTGACACTGATTTGAACATTGACACAAATTTAGAACAAGTTTAATTTTTATAGAGGGGATTGACATCAAACAAGTGAGAGAATTATATTTATCCCTTTGACCTGCCTTAATTTAAACTAATGATATATGGAATCGATATCACTTTCTTACATGTATGAAATCAACAGCTTAAACATGGCAATAAAAAATAGTTGACTAACCTCAGCAAACAAATACAGAGCTGAATTGCCCCTGGTGTGTTTGTTAATGAGCGCTCCATTCCATATTCGTTTACCACCATGAAAATCCAGTCTTGTCCGATTATCAGCAGCTGAAGCACAACCAAGTCTGAATATTTTAAGGAAGAGAATGCATAGTTATGTTGATGAGCTGATTCTAGTGACAACATAAACTTGTGTAAGTTGACTTGTAATCATTATTTTGATTTCATGTGTTCTAATTTAACTGCTCGCTGGTAAACTCTTAAGTACATGTGTCAACAGCCTCCCTTAAATTAATTTACAGTTTAAATTGGGACCCGACTGTAGCTCAGGCATGGTGCTAAATATCTGAAGAAAAACCTGTCTGTTTATTAAGTTTTACATGTACCAGTACATTGATTGTACAGTGAAGTTTACATGTATTGTTTTGACAACACTAAGTCTTAAGACATTAATTCAAATATGAAAACGAAGACACAGCATGCTGTTTTGAAGTCCGAATTCTGCAACGACTCAACAAAACTAAAAAACTGACACAGTCAATCTGAATTATATTAATTTAAGAATTGCAGTGTTTTGTTGGGCCATCTCAGCAGACAGTTTTAGTGTTAACGAGCAAGTGTTTTCAACTTTTGCATGATCAGTAACACCGGTGATGATGTCATCAGGCCACACCCTTGGTCATGTGACTAATACTGAAAAAATGCAAAGGCTCCCAGGCAAATTACTTTATAGAGACTTTTTCATTAATTTAGTATTTTAATTTAAATCCTCATACACTATGCATAGATTTTGTTTCATTTCTAAAAGGTCAGATTTCGAGAGAATTCCAAAATATTGAAAAATTCGTAATTTTCTGAAAAAAGCATGATTTCGAAAAAGGAATGCATAGCTATNCATTTCTAAAAGGTCAGATTTTGAGAGCATTCCAAAATATTGAAAAATTCGTAATTTTCTGAAAAAAGCATGATTTCGAAAAAGGAATGCATAGCTATGTTTCCAACGTTGGCTTTAATCAAAATTTGTCGAAAAAGGCTGGATTGAACAAAAAACTGCGTTTCCTTTAGCATTTAAAGAAACTGAAAGTGCGCCTGATATATATTGGTAGTTACCCTATCGGTGCGTGCGCAATTTACACTAGCAGCACACTTCGGTAAGATCAAGCAAAGCCACACACAGTTAGTTTTTCTCTTTCTATTGCTCTTGTTTTTCTGTATTTCTCTTATTTTGTCTTTGTTTGCACTTTTTTTACTTTACATTTTGTGAAAAACAAATAAAAACCTCTAAAATGTAAGCGAATTTGCAAGTTTATTGAGTTGTTTTTATTTTCTGCGCTCAGGCTGACGAAAGTAACCGAAAGTGAAATTTCACCTCCTTAGCAATGCACACGAGCACGTGCAGAAATCGGTAAATGGACGCTTAATGTCTTCTTGCAGCCATTTATTTATAGTGGTCATGTGGTTTGAAAAAGGATAGTTAGAATTTAAAGATTACTGAATAAATGGCACACGCATATTTGCTAATAATGAAAACATTTTTACCTTCTTTTAGTTCTTAAAATAGGGAATTTTGAACAAAGTGCACGAAGGACATCCGTTTCTGTCATGTCTGATGTGAAGGTCATTTTACCAAACCGTCCTTTCCCTGGCTTTTTGAGCTGAGCCATTTCAATGGTGTTTGGCATCAACACTACATTTTGATCGTTCTTACTGACATAGACATCACTATCCAACAAAACCATGACGCTCTTAGCATGCGTATGTGGGTCCCTTCTACGCCTTTTAGCATTTGGCTCTTCACCACTTGATGCATCGCTCTCTCCACTCTTAGCATGTTCCATTACCTGCTACATGAAGAAATGAAAAAAACAAGTACTTGCTTAATAAGACTGTAAGAGATAGTTTTAAATGTAACTAATGTGGCATTATGCATTTGGAATCTGGCATTGATGCTGGACAAAGCTAAATATGATATCTGTGCTAACAAGCAACACAACTTGCCACAGTTTAAATCTAACAACTGGGCTTGGTGTCACAATATAGAATGAAACTAATCAACATGATCACCGATTTTGTTAGCCTAGGAAAAGAGCCATCCTTCTTCACTCCTGGCCCGAGTGGCATTTCAGGATAATCTCACGAAACACCACTCAGGGTGGAACGAAGAAGGCAAAACATACCATAACCTGCAATGTCCTCATTCCCAGGGTCTCTCATCTTACCGCCCCCTGGGGGGTGGTAAGATGAGAGACCCTGGGAATGAGGTTGAACCTGCAATAGAAATGAGGCAAAACACACTAAATTTAAAGAACATGGCAAATTAGAGAGGTTTCAAACTCTACAGATTGACAGATAATAGCTTAAACTGACATACAGAGGTATGACCTCTAAAAATTTGCTATGCCACACTCCAACTGCTCTATTCTAGACTACTGGTACTTTTAAAGAAGTTCTCCTGATAACACAATAACAAAATGTGCCCTTCAGAAACAAGCAAGGAGCAAAATAAAAGGTCAAAAAAACTGAAGTTCAGAAGAGAATGGCAAATGTAGAAATGTCACAAGCCATAGGAGTCATGTGACTTAAAGTATCCAATCAGCAAAAACTTTTCACCAGGCGAACAGTTGGAAGGGCATAAACATTGACCAGTGTGACCTACGGGAAACTTTTTTTCAACTCCTAATTCGTGCTCATGATCACGCTCTGTGCCTGTGTATCGCATTTTGCACTCTACCCCTGTAATCCGCCTGTTCTGTAAGGCTACCATTTAATATACATGTACAATCCATTATCCTTAAGCTAATGATTTCTGGTTTTATAAATCTCTTTTCTTGAATATTCAATGCAGTTTCCAGTAAGAAACATGGCCAGACTTCAATGCCTTTCCTATTAGCATTCAAGTACATGTAAGGTCAGTACAGTTTCTCCTGCATGCTGAATGTTGATAGGTATGCTGATGTGTATTAATCAAAACTGTATGCACTCTACTCTCTTACTACTGAATTTATTGAAGACAAGCAAGGATAACAGTAAACAACTTAGCTTCAATGAGTTTTGACAACATTTGCTTTCTCCATGACCAGTTTTGACCGGTTTCCAGAAAACGTGAAAACAATCAAGAAAATCGACAATATCGTCTTTAGCCTGTGTAGCAAGCATTCCTGTACAAAGAACTTTTCTGCATTCTGGCCGTGTGTAAATTTGGAACAAGGGGAAAACCTCAACGAAGCAGGGGGTGGTGGGGTAAAAGAGGAAATGCTTGCCTGCAAACCCCTTGATTTTAAAAAACACCCACTGGTTTTCACAGTTGAGCTCATTTATTGATTGACAACTTTGTTTGAAAATTGCCACAGAAAGTAAAGTTGCGTTTGCAGGGAAAACAACAAACAGTCGTGGGCTTGTAAAATTAGGTCTTTCATTATCTGGACATGAAAAACAACTCAGTTAAGTTAAGCAAGCTTGCCAAATAAGACTATCAAAGATGGGTTCTCCTTCCCTGGTTCCTGTTTGATCTTCACTCATGATCCATAATTAAAACAGCAGCCGAAAAATTTTAAAAGCTTTTGCTGAATCCAGCGGGTAATAGAGCCACCAAATATTTACCCTCTAGAAGATGGTGTCTAAAAAATGTCTCACAAACTCAATGAAAGGCCACATATTTTGGCATCTCGGGCGTTCCAAGCAGACTTCCTCCAGGTTTCAGTATTTGAGAGGAATTAGCCAAATTAACGAATGCCTGCGTACAAATACATCCATCTCTTTCTTTAAGTAAAACTCTGTAGCTTCTTGTCGATAAGTTGAAGTCTCTTGCAAATTTATCAAGGTCCAAAGTCCGCAGCTAGATTGGATGTGAGCAAACAAAGGGAAAGGTATGTGCCTTGGCTTCAGCAGCCATTTGTGGGGGAAGAAGATTGCGTGACAAGCCCAAAGAGAGTCTGCGCAGGAGGCTAAGCTTCGACGAGCTTTGACAACATGTGCTTTCTCTGTGATCGGTTTTGACCGGTTTCAAGACTATAAGGTATGTTACGTAATTTTCACCAAGTGTCCGACAACACCCACTGTGACACAGAGTGGCCAACAATTAAAGTAATTAAAACGTCAAATTGAAAGTCCTATTTACAGATTTCAAAAAGCACACTTTCACTTCTACGTTCACAAATATCATGGTTGTCACGTACTGGAAATTTCTCAAGCTTACATGTAAGCTAACACTAACTTTAAGCTTAAATGGCGATGCAAAACTTCCTCTTTCTTACTATCTCGAGGAGGAACGAGAGAGATGGAGACACCCAAGATTATAAAAATTTTCTGCATGACAACTGCACCAGATTGTGTAAAACTGGTTGGGATATAAGCTTGAACTCAAGCGTAAATAAAACTTTCAGCAGCAAACTCCCAACCGAACGCAAGAACTGCAGCTGTATTTTGGTTGTAAGCTAAAACTTAGATGAGTTTACCTAGTTCATGCTACGAAATTAAGTGTCACTGCAGAGACGTTAGACTATGACAAGTAGTATTTAAGATTATTCTTACTTCCTTGCTGTGCTCAAGCTGTAAGTGACCTCAAACAGAACATTTTCCCACGCTGTTTTCGTTGAAGATCTGGAGCTGGCGCTATCATTTGAGAACAACCCAATGTGAAATCTTCCTCGAGTGGATAGCCACAATTTGGAGACTACTAATATGCCTTTAAAAGGAAGAACACTAAGCAGTTCTTTTCAGAGCAGAGGTAGAAATTACTTCAAGTTAAGTGAAGTTGTCAAAGAAGTAAAACCGCACTTGCACCGAGCTTCAAGTTTTGGTACAAACCCCATTTTCCTAATTTGGTGCGAATATCGTGCGCGCGCATGAACGGAAGTTGTCCAACGTTGGCGTGTTTGATATAGGTTTGATACAACCTTTTCGTGACCTGTGTTCATTTGTCATGTGATCGTGCAGAAAATATAGCTCGCAAAAATGCAAATTGCAACGTGGTCTTTCGAGACTATACATACTAGATTACAAATAAGCTTGAAAGGGTTATAAAAAGTAGCGCTTTCCAGAATTTTCCACGAAGGAAGTAGTTCAATCTATGATTAGAAGAATAGGACGCAACAAAAACAATTTACAGTAAAGTCGGCAAAAACATTTTGCCTTCAAAATCTTGGCTGGACGATATAAATATCAAACCCCCTTTTGACTTGGTTTCAGTTTATTCACTTACAAATGTTTCCTGACTGTAGCGATGACGGTGAAGCTAGGTAGCGTATAGATTCCGTAACAATAGAAGCAAGAGAAAACGTTGAAAAGATTGGCGCGCTAGGAAACCGTAGCGTTTAAATAGCCCTAATTTGCATACATAAATAGCAAGCTAAAATAAAAATTCGCACGTGGAATCCTACAAGCGCTGCTTCGAGCTGCTAAATTTACACAGTGAACGAACTATATATCCCGTACGTATTTATAGTGTGAAGAGCTGCGTGCGCAGAACACAGGTTTAAGTGCTATTGTCTCTTGATACAACCTTTCGTGACCTGTGTTCATTTTGCCACGTGATCGCGCAGAAACGTAAAAAACAAAAAGCTCTCACAAACGTTCGCTGTCTAGCCAAAATGCAAATTACAATGAGGTCGTATTAACTTTCAACGCCAAAAAGTTAACCCCCACACCACCCTCAATAAAACAAAAATAACAACACCACACTTTATTTAATACCAAAATAGAAAAACCCCGAGTTACAAAAAAGGTAATTGAAAGAGAATGTTAGGTTAATTCATCCAGAATGACTTAGTGAAATTAAATTATTTACATAAAGAAGTTGGTTGGCTGTAAAACTTAAA